TCGTACCAATCGCATTACCTAGGAGGAGTGGAGGAAGTTTACCTCGAAGGTGCGCTGTGATTGATAAATCGGAAACGTAAACTCATGGCTACCGGCAAGGACTGTCGTGGGGTCATCTGATGTCAACCGCATTCCGGTATTCAACTTCAGTGATTCAAAAATTACGATTGAAGAAGGAGAGCCTGTGGGCGTTTTGGAAGAAGTGGCCTGGATAAGAAAATGCTCGGAGAATCTTGTGAAGAAGGACAGTACGGGAATAGACTTTGTAACGAAAATCTTAGACGAAAACAAAAGTCTGACAAAAGTGGAGACTATGAAAGCTAGAAATTTACTCCTTCGATTCTCTGATGTGTTTTCAAGAAGCGATGGTGATATTGGCCGAACTGGTTTGGTGAAGCATAAAATAAATACAGGTGATACAATGCCAATTCGTCAAAGGCCCAGACGTATACCATTCGCTCGTGAGAAAGAGGTTGAACAAATGATTGACGATATGAGGAAAAATGACATGATAGAGCCCTCTTCTAGCCCTTGGTGTTCACCTGTCGTGCTTGTCAAGAAGAAAGATGGTTCAACGAGGTTTTGCGTAGACTATCGACGATTGAATGATGTAACCAAGAAGGATAGCTACCCGTTACCAAGAATCGATGACACACTTGACACACTGAGTGGCATGAAATGGTTTTCAACGCTCGATCTGAAAAGCGGCTATTGGCAGGTGGATTTGGATCCCAAGGACAAGGAAAAGACCGCATTCTCAACTGGGAAGGGACTCTGGCAATTTAAGGTGATGCCATTTGGATTATGCAATGCACCGGCAACCTTTGAGCGTTTGATGGAACAGGTGCTGGCGGGACTGCTGGGCGAAACCTGCCTAGTTTACCTCGATGACATCATCATCGTTGGACGGGATTTTGACGATCATCTAAGAAAATTGGAAAGGGTACTCGAAAAGCTGCGTGGAGCAAATTTAAAGTTGAGTCCAAAGAAATGCTCTTTCTTTAAGCGCGAAGTGAATTATCTAGGACATGTTATTTCTGAGAGAGGAATTGAGACTGATCCAGCCAAGACTGCCGCTGTTAAGGAATGGCCAACACCTAAAGACAAAACGCAAGTTCGGGCATTTCTTGGATTATGCTCGTATTATCGGCGGTTTGTGAAAGGATTCTCGGACATTGCCAAGCCATTGCATCGATTGACAGAGGAGAAACGTGCCTTTATATGGGACGAGGATTGTGAGCAAGCCTTTCGCGAACTAAAAGAACGGCTTTGTAAAACGCCAATTCTCGGATACCCCAGCGCGAAAGGAATATTCGTAGTTGACACGGACGCCAGTAATATCGGAATAGGAGGTGTCCTTTCACAACGCGATGGTGAGCAGGAGAAGGTTATTGCTTACTTCAGCAAGTCACTATCCAAGCCGGAGAGGAATTATTGCGTGACCAGGAGGGAATTACTGGCCGTAGTCAAAACTCTGCACCATTTCAAGAAGTATTTACTGGGACGGAAATTTTTAATCAGAACTGATCACGCTGCTTTGAAATGGCTGCTTCAGTTTAAGGATCCTGAAGGCCAAGTAGCCAGATGGTTGGAACAACTTCAGGAATTTGACTTTGAAATCGAACATCGCGGCGGAAGAATTCATGGCAACGCAGATGCATTATCGAGACGCCCATGCGTGGAAGATTGCAAGCATTGTGCCAAGAAGGAAATTGCTTTTCTTAAGGTGATAAGGACTGATACTGTTGACGAGGCATGGGGAGATGATGCGATGAAATTAGAACAGGAAAAAGATGCGGATATCAAACCAATACTGGAGTGGCTACGAAGTGGTAACAAGCCAAGTTGGAGTGACGTCGCCCAATATAGCGCGGTAACGAAAGGTTTATGGGCACAGTGGAAAAGCCTTACGCTGCATAACGGACTTCTGTGCAGGAAATGGGAATCAACAAACGGCAAGGACGAGCATTTGCAATTGGTGGTGCCTCGTTCAAAAATAAGGGATGTATTAAAAGCGTTCCATGATGGATCTTCTGGAGGACATTTGGGAATTAGGAGGACTTTGGTGAAGATCAAGGAGAGGTTTTATTGGTTGCATTGCAAATATGACGTCGAAGATTGGTGCCGGAAATGCACTAGTTGTGCAGCTGTCAAGGGTCCACAAACAAGAAGCAGAGGGGCGATGAAAATCTACAATGTTGGTATGCCTTGGGAGAGAATAGCCTTAGACATCGCTGGACCATTTCCAATCACTGATTCGGGCAATCGCTACGTTTTAGTGGTTATGGATTATTTTACAAAATGGCCGGAGGTCTTTGCCATACCGAATCAAGAGGCAGTAACTGTAGCCACGAAGTTGGTAAACGAGGTATTCACCCGATTCGGAGTGCCCTTGGAGATGCACAGTGATCAAGGACGGAACTTTGAGTCCCAAGTTTTTCAGGAAACTTGTAAACTTTTGGGAATCCATAAGACTCGAACGACTCCTTATCATCCACAGTCAGATGGAATGGTCGAACGTTTCAACCAAACATTGGAACGACACTTAGCAAAGGTGGTTGACAGCCATCAGAGAGATTGGGACACTTACATACCTCTCTTCTTGCTTGCCTATCGGACTGCTGTACATGAAAGTACCGCAAAGACGCCTGCATTTGCAAATTTTGGAAGGGAATTGAGATTACCGGCAGATCTTGTATCGGGCTGTCCACCTGGCGACTCTCGCACCGAATTTAGCGATTACATAAGCGAGTTAAGGGCAAAAATGTTGGACATTTATGAGCAGATCAGGGAGGCCGGTCTTCAAGCTAGTGATCGCGCAAAGACGCGCTATGATCGACGAGCCAATTCTGTTGGGTTTGAAGAAGGGTCATTGGTCTGGCTTCATAATCCAGTCAGAAGGAAGGGAAAATCTCCGAAGCTGCAACCGAGTTGGGAAGGTCCTTATGAGATAGTCACGAAGATCAATGACATTACTTACAGAATTCGGAAGACTTCAAGGAGCCCTTTGAAAGTTGTCCATATAGACAGGTTGGCGAGGTATTACGGCAGCAACGATGCTCGGGACGAGCGAATCTAAGAGGGGGGCAGTGTGACGGAAAACTCTTTGACATCATGACGTCAAGGGATGGTTGTCAAACGTTGCCTAGAGATTGTAAATTTCGTCGTGAATTGTCAACACGAGTTGGTGTAATCGGTAAGGCGTGTGGATTACACCACAGAGACCCCGAGTTCGAGTCCCGCCGTAAACATGAAGTTTTTTAGTTGATGGAAGTTTTGTCGAACTTTCTGGAATTATTTGAGTGAAAGAAATGAAAAATTAAGGAGCGAGAAGGAGAATAAATAAAAATGAATAACGAAATTATTGGAAGGTTCTGGAGGCATGACGATCAAAAAGAATAACGAAATTGAATGTTCTAGAACCTGACCGGGGGTATATAAGCGGAACTGCGGCTCACCGCTGGCAGTTGAGTTCTAAGTCTAAAGCGATTCGGAAGAAAAGGAAGAAGTGGAAAAGAAGAAAAGTGAGTGAAATAGTGAAGTGCAGTGAAATAGTGAAGTGCAGTCAGTTAAGTGAGTTAAATCAGCGTGAACGGCAAAGTTGTGTCAGTCGGCCGGACTCTGCTGCAGAAGAACGCCGATAACTTAACTCCGTGGATGCTGTAACTTAAGTGCAATAGAAAGTCTGAAAACCGGTATTAGTGTTTCATTTCATCCAATCCCGTTACCCAAGCCCGCATATTCAGGAACGTGACGTCAGGCACGTAACATTATTAAACAAAAATTTAAAACTTATTATCCTTTTAAAATAAATTTCAATTTTCTAATAGAACAAATATAACAAGGAGTATAATTTTAAACAACTTATTAGCATTTTATATAACATTAAAACAATATCGTTATTGTAACACATCAAAGTACTTATATGAAGTTAACATAAATGAGCATTATTTACCATATACTGCTCAAAATAAAAATATCACACATTGTCATCCCAGCTACATACATTTGTAACTGAACATAAGTGTAATATGAATGGCTTAGTTTTAACTCTATTACATTATTTTTTAAAAATATTAAGTAATTAACATTGCATACATTTTTATCAAATTCAACGACAGTTTTCTTTTCAAATGTAGATTGGTAATTGGCTTCGACTCGCTTTGTCACACAGTCTTCTTCCACCACTACACAGTCAATATTAACGCACAGCCATATTATTATTCGCATTAATTCTTTGTTCTTCCACATCCCTCACATGTTCTGCTAACACCAATTTTACATTTTAGAACAGTCTGGGGTTGGAAAATGAATGTGTGTATAACACTCAAAACCTGTTTTTATAATAATATCCATTTTTTATACAATTCAATAAAATGCCTTTCTCCACATATATTTATTGTCTTTTATAGTATATTTTATTAACTCGCGTTGATAAAAATAAACAATCTGTTGACATTAATTTTTTGACACATGTCGTGCGCGGTCCGAATACAGCCATTTTTGGTCGTCATACATAACAACCCTTTCTTGGCATGAAATAGTACTCTTTAAATTAGTCGGTTATAAATGTCTGAAAAAGAGTTTTTTATAAAGTAACGATGATAAATTACACGATAAATTACAATTCCGTCAAAAATAAATATATTTTTATTTTCTACGTGGAATATTATAAATAATAGTTTAACAAACCACATAGATAATGTGGAATTCAAAGAAACAGCCAGAGAATTTGTAATTTTAACTTTAAGTAAAAACCGTAATTTACCACAAATCACATTATAAAGAACCTACACAATTACATTCGTTCACGAAAATTATCTCTGGACCGAACTTCGTATGCGTGTCCGAAAATAAAACAGAGTAGGGTCGCCAACGTACTTTCGTTCGAGTTTCGTTCGTTTCCGAAAGTTTCGTTTCGAAGAAAGAGAGTAGACCTCCAGGTTTGAGCATTAATCACCTAGGCGGATTGGCAATTTTTCCGTTCAGGTTTTCTCACGATGTTTACCTACAACGTAAGTCAGTGATGTCAAATTTTTTTTTTATGCAATGGTCTGCAAACGAGCAGACGGATTACCTGATGGTAAGCAATCAGCGCCGCCCACGGACACCCGCAACGGAGGAGTTACGAGTGCGTTGCCGACCTTTTAGGGATTAGGGATTGAGGAGGGATTGGGGGAGGGGAAGGATTGGACCTCCGGTAACCTCACTCACACGGCGAAACACAACGCTGTCGTTGTTTCACGCCGGTTTTCTATATCATAATAATTATATTATATAATAATAATTATGAAATGAACGTACAACTCGGAAAAAGGCACATTGGTGCAAGTTAAGATTCTAACTGGCACCTTTACGCATGAGTAACGGGTTTCTTACTTCTAACCTCCGGGCCACCACGACGTCATACAAATATCGACAAACATTCACACAAACTAACCCCTTTAGCCCTTTTTAATATTAGTTATATTTTGTTTTTAAGTAATCAGCGCCGCCCGCACCAAGAGAATAGTTACGAGTGCATTTCCGACCATTGCCGACCGGATTAGGGATTTGGAGATTTTGAGATTGGGGAGGGATGGGGGGAGGGAAAGGATTGGGTCTCCGACAACCTCACTCACACAACGCTGTGATTGTTTCACGCCGGTTTTCTGTGAGGCCGTGGTATCACTCCGGTCGAGCCAACCCATTCGTACCAAAGCATAGCTCTTCCATACTTTATGGATGTTTCAAGTAAGATGTAACCAATCAAGTAAAATGTTTTAAATCCGTTCTTTCGACGTGAAACAAGAAAATAAATAAAATAGTACCTTAAGCCTACCTAAGGACCGTCAGTGGCCGTAATCCTAAAAGGTTCGACAGACAGTATTTTTATATTATTATTATCATCATCATATTTCTACATTTTCACCGAAAAATTTTCCTTATTAAGATAACTATTTTGGATACACGTTATTTATTATAGAGGAGATAAGAATTTACTTTATTAATTTAATATTAGTTTTGTTTATTTATAGTTCAGCTGCATTTTTTTGAGGTAAGAAAATCAACAAATGACTTCTGATGAGAGATTTTTTTGTCATAGGTCAGCAAAACTGAGCAGATGGATACTTGATGGTATGCTATCAGCACCGCCCCTGGACAGCAGGAAGTGTGCCTTAGGAGTGCCTGAGGAGCCCTGAGGAGTCTTTACGAATGTTTTGTCGGCCTTTTGGGGATTATGATTCCAGATATTTCGAGATTGGGGAGAGATGGGGAGGGGAAGGATTGAGTCCCCATAACCTCATTCACATGACGAAAACAACGATGTGATTGTTTCACGTTGGTTTTGTGTGAGACCGTGGTATTTCCCGGTCCAGATGACCCATCGTTAGTCTAACTGATGTGAGTGTGTAAATTGTAGCATTTCATTATAACAGTTACTGTGTTGACTGCATGGTTGGCGCAGTGGCTGTGCAACTGCAACGCGTCGCACGTTCGTTTCCTGCACGAAACAACACTTACACCCAATTTCCGAAAGGCCGATCAATGTTAAAATCAATTTAATCTCTTGTCAAGTCATCTGATTGGTTGACTGAATTATCAACAACCAATCAGATTACTTGACAAGAGATTTAACAGGAGATTCGTTAATTTTAGCGTTGACAAGCCTTTCAGAAACCGGGTGTTAGTGTGATCCACAAATTGTTGTTTCGGGTCAGGGTGGCTTGTATATGTGAGTTTGTGCGTTTCTAAACGCACCCACGACGCAGCAGAAAATCCTAGTGTGGGACAAGTTTAAAAAAAAAAACTTTGCCTATAATATTCAGTATCAACCGGCAACCGAGTAACTGGTTACAATTTGTCTTCTAAGTTTGTAACAGTATCTCAGTCAATTTGCTATTTGACAGCTAATAAAGCTTATCGCCAGAAAACAGTGGTCGGACGCTTCGACCCAAATGTATGGAGTGTTGACGGATTGTGATTGATCATAGAAACACGCGGCCGTCGGGCGTTCACCTTATCTTGTACTTTGTTACAGGATTACAGTTTAGAACAATTATAAATACTACTGTGTATATTAATATACTAGCTACCATCCGCTGCTCAGCTCCATTTGATCGTAGCGTGATGTTTTATAGCCTATAAGCACCCAAGAACATTGTAGATACCTATCAGTGAAAGAATTTTCGCAATCCGACCAGCCGTTCCAAAGATTACTTCCTACATACAAACTTACAAATTTTACCTCTTTATAATATTAGTATAGATTACCTATTCCTTTTGAAATCATTAGGTATTGCACATATATGTACCTATATATCAAGGTCTCATCTCGAGGTCATCAATAGGATCCATACTTCTTTATTATGAAAAGTATAAGTAAAAGTATTAACGTCGAATGAATTTATTTTTGAACTAAAAAAACTACCCAATGTTGACTAATAAGGTACCCCTTTCGCTTTTTCTACATTCTTCTATCTCGCCATAGATGCTCGTGCATTGAAGGTGTTTTTACGGATTACTAGCGGCCCGCCCCCGCTTCGCACGGGTCCAGCTATCTCGATATCAAAGGGTCACTTTTTCCTAAACTTCCCCTCTACTTTTCTCTTTCTTACTTCTTTGATAAGAACCTTCTCCTGACAATAACAAACACAACAAAAAAAGAATTAGCAAAATTGGTCCAGGCGTTGTTGAGTTATGCGCTTACCAACACATTTTGCGATCCATTTTTATACATATAAAAAGATAACCGAACTTCTTTTTTGTTTCGTTTTGTTGTTGACATTCTATTAATTAACCTCCATGCAATGTAGTTACAAATTGCTCTAATGGCGGTAGCAATTACTTTTCAATACAATTATATAATTAATTGTAATGGTTTTGAAATTCCTAAATTTCATCAGGTCCAATGTGAAATAGTACCCTGATCACAGTGTACCACAATCAGTTGCATTGCGTTTCTCGGAAATTGAAATTATACTGACACTCGGGGACGATGTTTTCAAAGGTTTGGCGGACAGTCTTTTTTTGTTTTTTTTTTTTATAAATAAGACCTTTGCAGTCATTGTGATGGTAGTAACAGTCTTAAAAATTGTAAAGTTCGTGGCCGCCATTTTGTCCAGGTCGTAGTCATCATCATCATCAGCCTATAAGTGCCCACTGCTGAGCAAAGGACTCTTCTCATACGGGGAAGGTTTGAGCTTTAATCACCACGCTTGCCCAATGTGGGTTGGCGATTTCAAACTTACAATTAGTAAATATAAGTCCAGATTTCCTCACAATGTTTACCTTCACCGTATTTCAGTGGTGTCTAAATAATCATAGAAAGTACATATAACTTGGAAAAAGTCACACTGATTCTTGCCAGGTTTCGAACCCACAGCCTCATGTATGAGAAGCGGGCTCCTTAACCTCCGGACCACCACGACTGCCACCAACCAGGTTGTAGTATTAAATAGCATAAAAATTAAGTGGAATTCGAAACTATTTCGTTTTTATTCTTCTCAAAGTAGAAAATAAGATAATATCTTATATTTTATTTCGTTGCGGAATCTGAAACTGCTCTTCACGTCCGTGGGATGCACTGAAATTAAATGTTTCCGTTTTCTCATGGTAGCATCTACAGTAGATTTTTTTTATATGATATGACGGCAAAACGGCAAACTGATGGTAAGCAATGCGTTCCGCTCATGGACACCAGTACGCCAGAGGAGTTACAAATGCGTTCTTGATTTTTTGGGGTTTTGAGTTTTGGAGGTTTATGGATTATTAAGGGAAAGGGATAGGGGATAGGAAACAAGGATTGAATTGTAGATCCTGGTGGAATTTTCTAATAAAAAACATAAACATAAAGCTATAATCATCATAAAAGATAAAGACATCCGTGTGCATTGACAACCTTAAATGACTCCAACAAGTCATAGCATACAACAAATAAGAAGCAACAAAATAGATACCTAACACTACAAACCTGGGTAGGAAGGCCAAAAACCAACCTTTTTAAAAACAAGTGTGTGAGTGTGTTTAAGTGTGGGAGAGCCATGCTTCGGCACGAATGGGTCGGCTCGACCGGAGTGATACCACGGCCTCACAGAAAACCGGCGTGAAACAACCACAGCGTTGTGTTTCGCCGGGTGAGTGAGGTTACCGGAGGCCCAATCCTTCTCCTCCCCCAATTCCTCCTCAATCCCTAATTCCTAAAAGGTCGGCAACGCACTCGTAACTCCTCCGTTGCGGGTGTCCATGGGCGGCGCTGATTTCTTACCATCAGGTAATCCGTCTGCTCGTTTGCCGACCTATTACATAAAAAAACAGTCCCTTTTTTCCAAAAATTATAGTCATATCTCCAACAAAGGATTTGCTCGCATTGGTGTTTACCTGCAAGCGTTTCGCTGACGCTCTCTATCGATGTTTGCCCCTCTCTATTCATATACAGGGTACCTTTATCGAGTGTCTGTTTATGTGGCACAACCCTAATTTGTGCAATCACAGTTGAAATCACGTTGAAAAAGACTCAACGGTAGGATATTGTATGCGTTTTGTGTTGGAGCTTATTCGGTCCGATTAACGATTCCTAACAATGCTGTGTTTGAACTTTGGACTTCCTCTAAATAAAAGATTCATGTACGTGTCCACAAGCGGCGCTGATCACTTAACATCAGGTGATCCGCCTGCTCGTTAGCCTCCAATTCCATAAACAAAAGAAAGAACACTTTTTTTCGGTAGGTGATATTTAGCACGGAATATTGCGCTCATAACAATATTATGTTAACATCGTCATAGGCAGCAACAAAATTTACCAAAGAGGCTGTATAATAAAAATATCTCAACCTCAATCCATGGTGACACTTTGTTTTTTAAGAAAAAGAACGAACTGTCATTTTGTGGTCAGTGTCAAAAACTATACATATTTTTTTACATTGTTTACAAAATGCCGAAAAGTGCAACGGAAGATTATACGAGATCCAGTGACAAACAGAGAAGTTTAAGTAGGAGTACCACAGGATTACAGGTCCTGAATCAATATTATTTACTTGAGTGATTTGTCACATAAATTCACCAATTTTCATTATCATGAAAATTAAAAATGTTGTCCATAAATCATCAACCATATCAGCCTACATTATTAGGTCAGTGGGTCATCTTAGGAGTGACCACTGCTTAGGAAAGGCCTCTTCGCGTTCGGTGAAGTTTAGAGCATTTATCACCACGCTTGCTTAAGGCAGATTGGTGATTTAAAACTAAGAAGGTTTCCTCACGATTTTTCCCTTCACCGTATGTCTGATGATGTCGTTAGATGATGGAAAACATAAGTAAAGACATTCATTTTCATTTAGTTGTAAAACAATACTAAGGGTGAAACGAATAAAAATTTTGTGTATTTAAATAGTGACTTCACGTGATATTTCAAATCAAATCGCCGTAAATATTCCACGATACAGTTAAAATAAGAATTTTTCTATTTAGCTGTTCATTTTCATAAAAATGAGAACGCTATTGGACGCAAAAAACAATAAACATCAATCCAAAACGCTTGTTTAAAAGTACAACTGTAACTTCATTACCTTACCATTCGTCTTTTGCCAACTTTGAAGTTACGAACTAACATAAAGGTGATTCTAAACGGGCAATTCTTTAGCAATATTGTGTTGCGCTTTTGTCAACCAAATGCATCGATATGCCAGCTTTTATTATGTATACGAAATTTTTTAGTCACTTTTGCACTGTTGGTATGCGGCAGAAACCACGCTGAAACTAATGAAAACATATAATGCGAAATCTTTGGATCGACAGAAACTCCTTACAACTAATTTGACGGAGCTCTAATTAAGCTTCCTTCATTCCTAGTCCTCAAATCTTCAATATTCAAAATCCCTAACTCCCTTTAGGCCGGCAATGCAATCAGAACTGCTCTAATATTTTGGGTATCCATAGACAAGGCCGATTGCTTACCATCAAGAGATCCATCTGATCGTTTGGTACTTAAAAAAACCGCATTTTTGACGCTCATAATCCACCAGTGGAACTGCCGAGACTACTGAACGGTTGACAAAAGGACATCATTGCAAAAAAATATCTCCAGTTTAGAAGCACCTCAAGAAATTCAAGTCAAAGGAACAAGCTTCGTAGGCACGACTTGCAAAGGCTTTAGTTATAGAATGCGGTAACTTTGCAGTATGGCAAGGCTATACAAATGTTATGTGTATTGTACAAGAAGAATGAGCACCCTGTATTCTTCTGGCTTCGACTCGACTGTATGTTGTTATGGTACAAGGAATGTTGGTTGTGCCTTTTAGTTAGGAGCAAATGTTTGTTGATTTGTTCATTGATGCTCGTTTATTTTCTTAAGGTTTTGTGTTAAACTACATTTATTATTATTTTATCCGTCAACTAGGTGGTTTTCTAAATCAAAAATGAATAATTTTGACTTTTAAATACAATGAATTATTAAAATATAATTATACTTTTAGTCACTGATTTGAAGATATAATTAATTTTAGACTTTTTGTAGATAAATTAAAAAAAAGTATGCAGTTAATCGTAAAAACATTATGACGTCATATGTTGCGATCACATGCAACATTCCTAGAAAAGGATCGTTTTTCACATTTTAATAAAAACACATTGAAGTTTATTGACTTGTTGGAAACTACGGAATCATGGTTCATGATATACAACTTGGCTACGGACAGATGGGCAACCTAACGGACAGCGGATTCTTAATAATAGGGTTCCTATTAGAAGTCGTAAAAATAACATTTGGCGTCAACCCTAATTTTTATTATCATTTTCTTTTATACATGTCTCTTGTGTTTTTATAATAACTATCGTGAGACATACTAAATTAACTAAAATCTGCGCGACGTCGCCGCGTCCGCGCACGCTGCTCATGAGGAAGAACCCCTCTGTGGTTCAAAACTAGTAGAGCTTTTCTCAATATAAACACGTGAGTAACCCGCGATTTTTAGTTAATTTACATGTCTCTTCTTACAGGTCCCTCTCCACTTCGCCATCCACAGGCCAGGATGTCACTTCGAGAGCTGCTGCGGCATCTGCAATTTATTCCCAGGAGTGCTTCTTATAGCTTTCTGCCAAGTCCTGGTAGGGTCCATCCTATTGACCCTTATCCTGACACATGGACCGCAATATGATGAAATGCATATGACTCCAACTACACAGTGTAAGTGACTGTTTTACTTTCTATCATACCTCATTGGTTTCAATTGGGTTGGTAAAAAATAAGATTCTCTAAAAAAATGAGCTCACACGAAAGTATGACAAATATTTGGTGTAACTGTGAATTGCGAATGACAACTCTGTATGTGCATATAGCATACTTTTAAGAACTTAGACAATGATACTCATTGGAAAACGTATATTTCTAATTTCCACCATGCAATCTAAACATCTTCCTGAAATAATCTACTGCTAGATCCTGGGCCCCCTTTAGGTTCATAACGACAAATTTTCCAAAACGTTCACACTCCCAAAACGTCTACTTCCCAAAATGGTAATTCTCAAAATGTCTATTTTCCATTTCGTCTACTTTCCCATAACGACCTATTCCCAAATAGTCTATTTCTCAAAACGACTACTCCCAAAACGTCTACTTCATAAAATTTAACACTTGTCCAATATTTTCTTGAAAACTAAAATAAATCGCTTTATAGTCCTTTTTAGTCGACTTAAAAAAGGAGGAGGTTCTCAGTTCGGATGTTTGTAAAGGTTCTTATAAGAGAAAAAACAAAGAATTATGAAAATTGTCAAGTAAGAATACTTAAACGTAGGGTAGGTATTCTACCATTTTAATCGTATTAAAATGGTAGAATGCTATCTTTGATAGGTACGAGGAAATGATCATATGATTGTGATTGTTTGCCATAATTTCGCCCCTAGGTAGGCACAATGAAGCTGACTCAACTCTGCCAATTGCGTAGTCCACTTCGTTGGCTCTCTTCCATTGTCACCACCTAGCGCTAAAATTGTGCTTTTATAGTTCGTTGTGATACAAAAGTATTCAAATGACTTATCCTGTCTTGGGTTGGGCGAGAGGGAGTTTCAGGATCGTACTAATAAAAAATCTACCCGTTCCTTCTCTCGTGGTATATAATTGCGCATGCACCCGTAACTTCAACTTAATCAAAAAGCGCTTTTTACTAAATCCATCACTATCCTTTAAAATGAGGGTAACGCACTTAAAATCCTCGATGTTGCAGGTGTCCATAAGCGTGGCCGATTGCTCACTGATATTTTTAGCGGATATGTCGCCTAACTAATAGTAATATTAGTTTGGCGACATATCCGCTAAAAATATTACAGCCATCAGTTCCTGGATTCACTGATTGTGTTAATTGGTATGATGGATATAAATATAAATAAATTATATTTAACAATTTTATTGCAGTTATAAGTCTTGCAACGGGAATTGTTCTAAGCGGCATCACTGGAGCAGGAATACTTCTCATAGTAGTGGCATTGACGGAAAACTGCAGAGCTATGCTGGTAAGCAATGAAAATAAATTTATAATTATGAAAACTCCCCCCATATCTACGTACTTTATTTATTTTCATATTTAGAATCGTATTCGATTCAGTTATTAAGGGTCTCAGTGTATTGTGTATGTTTGTAAAAGCACCAACGTGACAGAAGTCAAACGCACTAAAATAACGAATAAAAAAAAACCAATGCAATAGCGCAAAATCCTTGAGTCAGTCAACTTCTTGAGCACCATCAAGGTGGAAATAAAATATACTCCTGCGAGCAATTTTGTTTTTTCTTTCTGTTACCAGGTGTACCTACTTGTGGCTACGATAGTCTGGTTGGGCCTTGTATCATTGGCCATCACAAAAATTGGACGAGCATGTATCAGGTTCAAAGATGGTAAGCTGATTTAAGTACTCTTTAGAAGTATATGTTGGGGAACTAGCTAGGTATTGGCAGTTTTATCATTAAATCTCCTAAAATTCCTTATTTTTGGTTAAGAGTCCAAGTGACTACTTCAAATGAAGTCTTAACCAAACATAAGGAGTTTGGGTTTTTCAAACAACGTCCAGGTTAGTGGTGGTTCGGGCTTCACAAATAAAACCTTCACACAGTGCATCGCGTTTCTTTCTGTATGTGATCCTTAATCAATCGGTCTAATGGAAACCTTCCAAGATCATTCATCGAGGTTCTTAAGGATTATGCAAAATTCGCTTACGCAACTATTGGCACAATAACAGCCAAGTAAATTAGTTTATTCTTTACCTCTCCCAATTCCAAAATTACCAAAACCTTAATCCCCAAAAGGTCAGCAACGCACCCGTCACTTTTCCGTTTCTGCGGCTGTCCATGGGTGGTGCTTGCTGACCATCAAATAAAAAACATATCTTTAAGGTTATTTTTCATTATCCGAGTATACCGCACCACATTTCTTATAGTTCTCTCTATATACCAAAAATAAATTCAATTCCCTCCAATACTTATAAATAAACAAATTTAGATACTTTTTCCTGAATATGGTGGGTACACAAATAGAAAACGAGTCACTAGGTATTTTCTTTATGTTATTTGGCTCCTACATAAAACCTCTTTTAAGGTTCGAGTCCCAAATTGTTGGAAACAATGCAGTAAATTGTGCCTGTAAAAGTCTATATTTATTTTTACAAAAGTTTTCGTTTTCATACAAGACAGTGATTCTCATATGGTTCCAAAGTTAAATACAAATTTTGTTGTTTCGGTTGTGTGAATTTGTATGGTTCTAAACGTACCCAGGACATAGGAAAATACTGGTGTCGGCAAGGTGAAAAAAACAAAATAGAAAAAAACTAAAATAAATGTTTACTTCGTAGCTGAAGAGTTGTGGTGTGTGATTGGTTTTGTATGCTTACGCTTTCTCGAGATCCCATTTTTCATGCATTCACATGACTAAAACTCCTTTCTCTTCATACTTTCTCACATAGTTTACCGTTTTTTCTGTACTGTATTTATAGCCGAGCGACTTAGTCAAATTTATATTGCTCAAACACTAAGCGGAACCACCTGTGTCCTAACTCACTCATTTCATTATTGGCCACAATTCGGTTGCTTAGAGATAATTGAATGTTATTATATAAGCTTTTTCCTGGGATCGGGACTCGAGAGGCGATCTCCGATCACCGTAGCGCGGGTCTGCGGACGGCGAGCAAGAGTAGCCCGCCACCCGACCCACACACAACACACCCAACCCACACACCAGAAGCAGACCTGAGCGTACGGCGCGTAGCGTTCCGCGCGCGCTTCAAAGAAGCTATAGACCACCACTACAGACGGGCCCCTACAGGGCTGATGTTTAGACGGGGTTGCGCGGTAGGTGCAATGAGGCACCGCGACCTGGCTCCAGAGCAGGAGAAGGAACGGGGGGATTTTTAGTCAGAAAGAGTCCGACACTCCCTCTCGCCTGACCCTGGGCGGAAGAAGACATGTAATGATTTTCGCTTCACAAAAAAAAATATAAGTCTTAGTTATACATATAAACCTTCCACTTTAATCACATCATCATCATCAAAATCTGGTACGTAGTTTTAAGCAAACAGCGATGTAGGGCCAAAGAAAGCGACTTTATTTTACAATACTATACAGTGATTCTGATATTCCTGAATAGATTGAGCACCACTGTACAGAATTATTTCTTATAACCGTTACACATAACGCAATCGTTCCATGCGGCCTTCACAAACATTTCTCCCATAGTAAGAGCTATTTACATAAATTCGCCGTGTCTTCGAACCGGTCGTATCGGTTTCCGATATGTAATTCGAGTATGGAACAAACGGAATCCTCTAGTCTTAATGTAAATGTAAGGGCCGTCTGGTACAGACAAGGTTCTGACGAGAATTGACTCAGGAGGTTTGATTTTTATGCGAATGGCAAATGTGATGCTTCTGTTCAGAGTGTGGTGTATATTTTAACTTGTTTGCGGGTTCGGCTGTCTGATTATTAGTTCCTATTTTTTTGTCAGATGAGAAATGTTTACTTTTAGAAAATTATTCAATGACTTCTCCCTTCCTGAGTGGAGCGAGAGGGATTGTCAAACTCTTACTGATTAAAATACCACACCGTTTCTTTTCTTGCTCCGTGCGAAAAATTTTCAAATTATAATACTGTAAGGGAAAATGGTCGCCGATCGGTCAAAGGGCGACGGTTCTTTGCGATATAAAAACATGACGATGGTCTAGAAAATAAAATTCATTATTTTCTATTGCGAATCTAACTTCTATAAAGACCTAATTTCAGCAGTTGACGTGTTGCAGCTTACTTGACAAGAATTTATACATGTTAGTAACAAGAAATTGGCGACGTAATTAATAGAACAGGGTCCTGTTGACCCTTCCTAAGCGATACAGTGTTATAACCAGTATATTTATTGCCCCTTATCTCAAGAAACGTTGACCACTATTAACCTGTACACACGGGAACACCACCGGTTATTTATAAGTTATCATCCTACGTAAACATTTCGGTAGAGGGCTGAATATTAATGCAACTAGCTGATGGAATGACCCGACAAATGTTTATGCCCTAGCTGTACCTAAATGGAAATGTGGAACGTGACCTTGTGAACATTATTAGCTTTTGCAAGAAGCTTCAACCGCGTTACTGGGATAAAAAGTGCACTTTGTCTAGGGATGGGATAAGGCTTCCGATCACCCTACTCTCACGGCAAAACATAACGTAAGCGTTATTTCACACCGGTTTTTTTGAGGTCGTATTATTACTTCGATTTTTTTTTTAAAAAAAAACCTTGCCCATCTTTAGGATTTTCTCCTGTGTCGTAGGTGTGTTTACAAACATACAAATTCACATACACATCACACCCAGACTCGGAACAACAATTTGTGGATCACACAAAGAGTTGTTCCGTGCGGGAATCGAACCCGCGACACCGCGACACGTTGCACGGCATCCAGTTGCATGAGAAGTGGCAGAGCCTTGACGTCTGGGCCTGCACGACATTTTAGTTTAAAAACTTAGTTGTAAACGCGTTTGTTGACCAAGGGATTACGACTTTGATTTTTTAATTAAGTAAATCATTATTAAGTTTGTTTTGGTTTTGACAACCATATTGTCATCTCATCTCTTCTCTCTCATCTCATCTCTTTCACTCGAGTTTATGGCACAACTAGAACTGGGTGTTCCATTTTTAAATTTGTCGAACGTTTGGAAAACGAAAAGCGTAAAGTTATTAAGTACGATGGTACATTCATATGTTTATTTGGTTTCAGCTCCAAAGATAAAGGATGAAGACCACAGACTTGCAAACTTGGCTTGTGTCAGTGGACTTTTAACGTTTCTTGGTGCTGGTAAGTATTTTTTTTTGTATTTGAATACTAGCTACTCACGCGCGGTTTCACCCGCTGCTCGGCTCCATTTAATCGTGGCGTGATGTTTTATAGCCTATAGCACTCAGGAATAATGTAGCTATCTAATAGTCAAAGAATTTTGACAATCCGACCAGCGGTTCCAAAGATTAGGTACCCCCTACATACAAACTTACAAATTTTACCTCTGTATAGTATTAGTATACATATAGATTATGTTTGCTTGCTTTTCAACGCGTCTGATTTTCAGGTCGGCCTAAGATCGATTGAGGCTTGAGAGCCTTTTGGAATTTATGAGTAATTTACACTTCTATCGTCCAGGGTGAGGCTAGAGGGAGTATCAGAATCTTACTGACTAAAACACCCCTGTCCTTTTGGCTAAGGCCACTGTACCTTATTGCGCTTGCTTCGCAACACTGGTTCGTCAGCCCTGTTCGAAGTCCAAAATTATGCCCGGTATATAACAAAATCAGAAGTGCATTAACAATGTGCATTTTTGCCAACATCTTCAGCGTTTAAAAGCCGTAATATTCTATAATGATAATTAACTAGGCACAGCCTCTATTTTAGCATCGGAACTGATGAAATAAATCCAGCCAGATTAATAAGGAAATTCCTACAACAAATTACCAAGGGAAATATGGCCTGAATCTAGCTATACAAACAGTTAATTAACGCATTATTTTAATAACAATATATCAAAAGATGAGTGAATAAATAATGTTCAATTATGGGGGTACCGTCGTGCATATAAAGCTTCGTGTACACTTGGCAACAATGGACGCACGACACAAAACCATTTACCCTACCATCGCAGCCGGGGTTGCGGGGAAAACGCAATTTGGCACCGCGACCTCGGCCCCGAACAGAAGAAGGAATAGGGAGGTTTTTAGTCAGTAAGAGTCTGACACTCCCTCCCGCCCAGCCTTGGGCGGGAGAAGTCATTTGATGATTTTCCCCTCACAAAAAAACCCTACCATCGCCTCCAGTTTTATAATCCGTACCGCTAAGAAGTGGAGTTCTTCGACGGAGTATGACCTGGGTATCTTCAAGGCCCGAGTGAATAGATTGCCATGTTTGTCCATCGTCGGTAGGTCGCATCATCGCTTACCAGTACCACCAGGCGTGATAGCGGCCAAATGCCTGCCCATTTCGAAATAAAAAAAATCGACGAATTTGCGCCACGCGCCATGATGTTGCCAACCTAACTGAAACATGATACACAGCCTATTTTGTTCCTCAGCAATTTGTCAAAGACAAATGATATAATTCCCATAAACTAATAAGCCAATTTTTAAAGTCTTATTATCATCATCGTCATCAGCCTAAATGTGCTAAATACTGAGCAAAGGCCTCTTCTCACAAGGAATACATTTGAGCATTCATCACCATGTTTGCTTATGGCGAATTGGCGACTCCACACTTTTAGAAATGTTTCTTCGCCGAATGTCAGTGAAATCTCAATAATTTTAAAAAGTACGATTACCTCGGAAAAAGTCAGATTGGTACATACTTGCCAGCAGCTTTGAAACCCTTATGTAGCTGTGTAACTGAACATGAAATAAATGTCTACGACTGGAGATGTGACATGCAATGGAAAAGTTCAGTTTTTCTACCGCTATGATAAAAGTTGTGGATGATATTTGCAAACAAAATTATCTGTTAGACAACGCTGTCAAATTCCCAGGTCAATCTGTGTATGATCACGACTCAAGTTAATACTGTGTTTATGTTGTGTAATATCCATGTAATGCCATGTAAAAATCATCATATTCATTTTAATTATAGTTCATACATTTGTACGGTGTTAGCTACAGCAAAACATGAAGGTTATTATGTACTCTTTTTAACATCTTACATTACAACATATAAATATGTATCTCGTTCTGTATACTCGTGTTTTACAAATAAATTTATCTTTTATCTTTTATCTTTTATCTTTTATCTTTTATCTTTTATCTTTTATCTTTTATCTTTTATCTTTTATCTTTTATCTTTTATCTTTTATCTTTTATCTTTTATCTTTTATCTTTTATCTTTTATCTTTTATCTTTTATCTTTTATCTTTTATCTTTTATCTTTTATCTTTTATCTTTTATCTTTTATCTTTTATCTTTTATCTTTTATCTTTTATCTTTTATCTTTTATCTTTTATCTTTTATCTTTTATCTTTTATCTTTTATCTAGGATAAAGATTAGCTGACAGTTGAGGTACAAAATATACACCACTTATTGTCGTTACACAGTTTTTCAACTCAACTATGACGTTTCCTTGACCAATACTGGACAGTTTATTACCACTAACAATTATTAAAAGATCCAACTCATAGACCAACATGTTGACCAACACGTCGCGCACTAAATGTTGCCTAGTGTACACGAAGTTTAATTCAGACTGCTATAATGAAAGTGGATGGGTGTACTGGCAAACTAATTATCATGATTATACTCGCTAGCATATAAAGCAATACCAATTTGCTAATTTCCCTTTGATACAATTTAAAACTTATTGTCTTGGTATAAGGTTGGTTTCTGTATGAAAGTTTAAAAGTTTAGGGTAGGTTGAACTGCTGGTATTCGTTCGTGTCTCCCTTCCAGCCTCCCCCTTCTTTCATTTCTCATCCCCATGCCCCCCTTTCCGCTTGATTACTTAAATATTATGTTAATTCAATTATAACGGTGACGATGCCATGCCCTGATTGGCGAATGAGCGGTGACGTGTTGCAAGTTTTTTAATTTTATTAATTTTCGTTCGACGCAGTGACGCCATTGCGTTTCGTGGGTAGTTCGTATAAAATTTTAATATAACATCGGGTGTGGGGAAACTTATTTTGAATATAATATTTATTCCGTGAATGGTCGGTCGTTATTCATAGCGTCTGAAACCCTTAGTAGCCAAGGCATTATTATGACACAAGCTTTTGCTTGCGACTTCGTTCGAATGGAATAGTGACTTCCTGCAGAAGTTTGGTAAAAAAACTATCCTATGTCCTTTCTCGAGTTCCAAACTATGTTTGTATTAAATTTACAGAAATCGGTTCAGTAGTTTAGGTGTGAAGAAAAGACAGGCGGACAGACAGAGTTACTTTATCTTTTATAGTATTAGTTTGGATATCTGTGTTTGACATCCTAACAATACTGTGCTATGCAAAAACTACTTAAATCTTAGTACTTTATATTTTGGCGCCCAACATGGGACTAAACATGTTGCGAATTCTGACTAAAAAAATTAAATAATCATGCTGTGATCCTTTTGTTTTTCAGTTCTGTACTTCTTCTCCATCGTAGTAGTGTTCAGCTTCTACCATTTCCGATACGTGCGGAGAGCCATACTTCTCCACGAGAACGAATGTGAATGATTTCGAGCTTTCGCCTTGGTTTTTGTCCCCCCAACTGGACCGAATTCAGAAATTAATTATACTAAATGGATTTTTTATGACCTTTATAAAAGTTAAGGCCGAAAATGGCGAAGTGACTTTATGGGAAATGAAACATAAAATAAATGAGTTTTGATATCAATTTATTAGGGAATTTATTTTAATTTTGTTTTCTAATAAAGCCTATAGAAAATATTTGTGTTTATTGGTTGTTATTTTTTATGATGATTGTGTAAACTCTTTAGTAGTACTGTAAAGAGTTTCATATTTGTTTGTGTTTGATTAATATACTAACACCCGGTTTCCGAAAGGCCGATCAATGTTAAAATCAATTTAACCTCTTTTCAAGTCATCTGATTGGTTGACTGAATTATCAACAACCAATCAGATGACTTGACAAGAGATCAGTTAATTTTAGCGTTGACAAGCCTTTCAGAAACAGGGTGTGAAACTTAAAGACCGCATTCGGTAAGTTGTTCTAAAAGGTCCGAATATAAATATAAAGCAACATAAATTTTACACCAAGACCTAGAACAACAACTTTTGGATCACACATAGATTTGTTCTGTGAATCGAAACCCCCAACACTTTGCGTAAGGTAAAGGTCTCTTATTTATTTAGACTTTTGCACATATATCTGTGTACAAGGTGGACTTAATGAAACAGGCATTCTCTCCCAGTCGAACCTTTGGGCGAAGCAGAGACAATAGTACGTGCAAGAAGCAAGCAAAATCGAGATATTACTTTTTATCTTTTATCTTTTATCTTTTATCTTTTATCTTTTATCTTTTATCTTTTATCTTTTATCTTTTATCTTTTATCTTTTATCTTTTATCTTTTATCTTTTATCTTTTATCTTTTATCTTTTATCTTTTATCTTTTATCTTTTATCTTTTATCTTTTATCTTTTATCTTTTATCTTTTATCTTTTATCTTTTATCTTTTATCTTTTATCTTTTATCTTTTATCTTTTATCTTTTATCTTTTATCTTTTATCTTTTATCTTTTATCTTTTATCTTTTATCTTTTATCTTTTATCTTTTATCTTTTATCTTTTATCTCGGATAAAGAGGTACAAAGTATACACCACTTTATCGTCTTTACACAGTTTTTCGACTCAACTATCGTTGCCTTGACAACCAACACTTTGCGTAAGGTAAAGGCCTCTTCTTACACGGAGAAGGGTTGAGCATTAATCACCACGCTTTTATTAGATACAACCGAAGCTAATAAAAGTGTATTTTAAAAATGATCATATTTTCTATAAAAAACCTTAGGCAAAGTTAGCAGATACAAAGAAAAGTGTTTCTAGTAAATAGCACCTCACAGGTAGCCTTCGAGAGCAAAAGAACTAAATTATTCTCTATGTTTTGATTTCTTAAAAACTTTTTTCCCGACGTTTTGGGGAACGCGTCAAACAGTTCCGTAACTAGATCCCTGAACCGAAACGGAATTGGTTACGTTTTTGCCGAAACAATTCTTTAGCGACTTAGAAAGGTTTTTGTTAGGAATTCTGAAGCTATACACATTTAGTTTTTCAGCTGAAAACATTACAAAGAAACTGTTTCAGTTCTAGGCTTTTATTGCTTGTTTCTTCTATTTGCAAACATGATTCTGTTTTGATTAAAGTGTAGTTTTTGTAATTGTCTGATAATTCCATGACTACAATAAACTACTTAGGAATTTTAATAACTATAAGAATCTCTGGTTGTAGGTATAGTTAACCTTTTAAGTGTGGGAGAGCTAAGTTTTAGCACGAATGGGCCGGTTCGACTTGCGTGATATTACGGCCTTAAAAGCCCGCTTAAAGCAAATAAAGGCCTTTCTTTATCCAGTGATGTGATAATAAGAGATGAAAAAGAAAGAAAGACCATGCGATATAAGACATGAACGCCAGGAAGAAAAACAATCATGATCTAAAAAATAAGTCATTAAAACAGAAAAAAAAACAAAATAATAATTGTAAAACAGACTAATAATAAAGGTACGCTGGGTTGGCAGTCATGCATAATCCGAATAGGTCGCCAACTCAGGAAAAACTAAGCACAATGAGTACCCAACGCAGTTTCAGTTGGCACACTTGCAGTGACGCACAGATGAAAGCAACTCATACTAGGTAAGTAAGGACTGCTGCTCATCTTTTGTTGAAAAGGGAGGATCCTCCGGCCAGACGGGTGTTGTGTCTGGTGGGCTACTGTCCAACGGTTGTTGTTGGGATTTTGTGCCTGTTCTAATTGCGTCGAGAATGTTCCACCGCACCGTGTTGTTGTTGCGCGTTTGACGTTTTCTTTATTTGATACGTGCAAACGAATTACCTGATGGTAAGCAATCAGCGCCGCCCATGAACACCCGCAACGGAGGAGTTACGAGTGCGTCTCTGACCTTTTAGGGATTAAGGTTTTGGAGATTAAGGGATCGGGGGATTTCAAAGGGATCGGGGAAGAGCAAGTATTGAGCCTCCGGTAACATCATTCACACTGCGAAACACAAAAAAATATACTAGGTATCATCATCATCATCATCATAATTATCATCATCTCAATGATATATTGGAATTTGTGCATAATACTTGCTTACTTAATAATTATGTGGTATTTCCGTCCATTCATAGGTACTAGAGGTGTTACGAGGTGTATCTACACCAGAGGAGTTACGAGTGCATTGCCGACTTTTTGGGGATTAGGGATTTAGAGATTACGGGATTGGGGGAGGGGAAGGATTGGGCCTCGTGTAACCTCACTCACACTGCAAAACAAATACTGTGGTTTTTAGATGTCGCTACAAACTACACTGGTACAGTTATTAAGATTTTGATGGGGTTTCTTTAAAAGATATAATTATTAAAGAGGCAGGTTTATATCTATAATAATATCCATAAAATAGTGGAGGAATTTAGTATCAGCAATGCGAAGCGTAATGCAAGCACCCGTGCGAAGCCGGGGAGCGTCGCTAGTTAATATACAAAAGCAGAGTAATTTTACTACGACTGATAATATAAAAGAGTGACTACTATTTTCTCTGAAATTCCCCGTAGATAATTAACTTAATGACATGGATACTTTGTTATAATTATGTAAGGCCAACTCTCGCAAAATTAATCTTATTACATCGACAATATGTATATAGTTCTGCTTCACAAAATATAACATTTTGCAATGAGCTGGGTTCAGGTCATTTTTTTTTTAAATAAAACTTTGCCCCACACTAGCATTTTCTCCTGTGTCGTGAGTGCGTTTACAAACATACAAGTTCACATGCACATCACACCCAGACCCGGAACAACAATTTGTGGGGATCACACAAAGAGTTGTTCCGTGCGGGAATCGAACCCGCGACACGTTGCGCGGCAGCCAGTTGCCCAGCCACCGCGCCAACCGTGCAGTCACATTGGCATAACATTTTATGATATATTGATGTTAATGGCTAAAGATTTTTAGTAGGGTGAAAAGCGGATTGAATCAGCTGTCGACGTCGCTGAAACGCATGAATTGAGTCCTATTGTGATTTGAAACTAGTAGAGCTTTTCTCGATTAGTTCACGTGAGAAAGTCGTTATTTTTAAATAAGGGCTGATTTTTCAATAGTCTGATAGGTAAATGTTATCTGAGGAATAAAATTGTTGCTGTCACTGTCTTATACAAACATTCTGACGTGACAGCATCATAATTATTGCCCAGATATCTTTTATCTAATTATTGAAAATCAGCCGTAAATGTAGTATGTCTCACGATACTTACTATTCACAGATAGCTATGATTTTTATTCCATTTTTAGTGTTTTACTGATTAAGTCGTTCGGAAAGCCACGATGGCTCAATATAAAGAGAATTATAATTGATTTGTATTTTAATGTTGGTTATCGTGAGTTTTTGGGACAAGCACGCCGCAACCACCCTAAACCGCTGCAACTCCTGTAAGCCAGGATCTACAGTAGATAAAACCATGAAAACACCGGAACACTGAAGTCCGGCGCGTCACAGAATATACTGGTTGGGAATGGTTATTGTGAGTTAATTATTTCTTTTAAGAAGCCGATGGAAATTTTTGACTTAACGGCTGGCGCAGGGGCGGTGATTGGCTGATACGCAACACGTAACCGTTCTGATTCGTCCACGAAACAATTCTTATGATGTGTTACTGAAATTGAATTTCTGTAAACGCAACGCACCCACTTCATGAAAAAAACTTCGTGTAGGACTTCTTAAAGCTTCTTCTTGCTTCACAGAGATTATAAAATTTATACTAATATTATAAATGCGGAAGTAACTCTGTCTGTCAGTCTGTCTGTCTTCTCTTCACGCCTAAACTACTGAACCGATTTCTATGAAATTTGGTACAGACGTAGTTTGGTACTCGAAAAAGGACATAGGATAGTTTTTATACCAAAAATCTGCAGGATATCACTTTTCGACGCGAACGGAGTCAGAGAGAGTAAAATAGAATAAAAGTAATACGTACCAAATAATTTCTATACATCGTAAATCTTCTAAAAAGGTCCAACTAAACAGCAGAAAATAGCAAGAAACGAATAGTAGGTACAATAATTTGTCAATTAAACCGTGTTTCGTCCAACATATGTTATAGGGTAAATGCACACGTATGCCAAACATAAATCACAATTCGGACCGTCGATAAAGATTTGTGACTGGCCCCTGTAGCCTCCACCCTAATCCCCATTTTCTTTTATTGATAAACGCTGTTATTATCAGATTTTTACTTTCACGAATTTTCCCTTACAATACGGTTTCATGAAATGGCTTCTGTTTTTATGTGTTCTGTGATAGCATCGGTGGTGTTTCTATTCTCTTGAGGGTGAGTGTCTATAGTGTGCTATCTTTCTCCACTGCATAGTGTAACAAAGTCGCTTTCTCTGCCCCTTTATCCCTATGTATGCTTAAATCTTTAAAACTACGCAACGGATTTTGATGCGGTTTTAAATAGATAGAGTGATTGAAATGACATCCATTTAATAGTGAAATTTAAT